CGTCGCGCCTGGCCGGAGCGTGCCTCGCGCGCGCTCGAAGAACTAGACATCTGCCTAGCGCTTGCGCTGGCCGCCGACGCCCCTCTCGACGCCAACCCTGGACCAGAGCTTCCAGTCCACCAGACGAACGGCCCAGCGCCCATTTCGCCGTGGATAGCATGCTTGCCAAGGACCACTTTTGCTTCGACAAGCTCGAGACCCAATCTTGGACGCCGTGCTGCTTGGCAAGGTTTGCGCTGGCATGCGCGGCACGCTGTATGTATAGTCCACCCAGGCGGGAAGACCACGACATCGGAGTCCTCGGGCCCTGCTCGACCACGAACGTCCGCGGGCCAGCGTTGTGCATGATCACCTTGATCTCGCCGCGGTAGTCGGGGTCCGCCGCTCCGCCCGCGACGTCGATGCCTATGAGGGCTCGTCCTGAGCGCGGGGCGATCCGCTGGCAGGTGCCCGGCGGCGCAAGGGCGGCCGCGCCCGTAGACGCCAGCTCGCGACCACAAGTGCCGATGCTGACGTCCGCGCAGGCGACTCGGTCGCGGCCTGCTGCGTGGGGCATGCCCCAAGCCCTGGTGCTCGTACGCTGGGGCGAAGAAGCTTGAACTCTCGGCTGTCGCTGGAGTTGCAGTCCTGGTTGTCGCCGCCCACTGCTAATATTGACAGCTGTGTAGGTGGAACTCGCCCGGCCAGTGGTTCGAGCTGGTCAACACTGCTGGCATGCATAGGTGACCACTTGGAGAATATTCTAAATCGGCGATCTTCTGACCCGGGTCAATCCAGACCCGGGTCAGCAGGAAACCAAAAACTGCAATGCAAGAAAAAAAACTGCAACGCAAATCTTCGCAAACCCGGGTCAGCCAATACGCGCGGCCGCCTCGCGGCCACGAGCGGCTCGCTAACCCGGGTCAGCCAGGGGGGGTCTTCGCAGGATCCTGCAGGATCTGGCGCCCTGGCTGACCCCCGTTTGCATTGACCCCCGTTTCAAGGCTCCCGACTAAACAACAGTGCATGATGCCCGGCCGTCAATTGATTCCGTGGCAACCAGGACCGGGGAATGCGAGGCGCTTGCGGGCTACGCCTGTCTCCAAAACTTCGCTGGTAGACGGCGCGGATTGCAGACCGAGTAGGGCAGGGAGAGCGAAGCCGTCGACCTCCATCGCAAGAGCACGCATGCTGCGACGGGAGGTCACGCCGTCGCGGGTTGCGACCTCCCAATGGGCAATATGTGAATCTTTGCCCACTCCAGCTACGTAGAGCGGAGACGTCGGCCTCCCCCCTGCGGGTTGAAGCCTCGCCTTTATGGCTTCGTCGGCCAGGCTCATCGCGAAGCGCAGTTGGTCTAGGCATCCGCATCCACAATGGCACCGAGCCGGCTGCCTGGGAAATCGGCGCTCGCCAGGTAGTAGGGTGAGTCGGTCGGTGGACGCAGGCCTGCACCCGACGTCGGCCAACTCGCGAACGTCGGTCGGCGCGGCGGAGTGCGCAAGTCCAGTTGGGTGCCGCATGGTACTGCTACGTCGGCAGCGGACACGAAACTGGAAACACTGCCGGGAGCATGCATGCGATCCCGCCGTGGTTCTGGGCATCGGCGCGGGCTGAGGAGTCTGCGCAGTGTCCTGTTGTGGTGGTATCTCCTCGAGCACGCTGCTGTCTGGCATCGGCTGGGTCGGCATCGCAGGTGCCATGCCCTGACAGCCAGGGTCTGCCGCGCGGGCGGGCAACGTAATTGCTGGCCCCGCTGCGTCGCTATCTGCACCAATGAAGCGGAAGTCGGCGATGACGTCGGCCAGGGCGCGGCGCGCCGGACAGCGCGCCAAGCTGGTGTCGGTTCTGCGCGAGCTGCGGGTGGCGCGCCGGGTGCAAGATGCGGAGGCGCTGCGGGTGTGCATTTCGATAACCATGTACGAACGCCTCGACGCAGATAGGACATTCCTGGTCGTCTCGCGACGCGGGGTGCAGCTAGCGCGGCAGCCGGCGCAGGAGGTGGATTAGTAGGGGTTTTGGTCCAACTCTGCGCGGCAAGTCGTCGCTGCTCGTCCTGTTGTTGCAAGAGCTCGATTGTAAGCAGGCTGCTGTGAAACTCGTCGAGGCGTCGTCGTTGCGCGCGGTCGAGCGTGGAGCCTCCTCCGCGATCGGATCGCGCGCCGCTGGGCGCCCAGGGGTCACGGCTGGCGAACCACATGGCCACTCGACCAGTTGGCTGGCTCACGTCAATGGGGGGGCGATGGTCGAAGAGAGCCAGATCGTTGGGAGACTCCGGCACCACCGGCGACATGGTTACCGGCGCGGACTGCGGTGGCCACAAGGAGCTCGATCCACGTGGCGCGCCGATGCCGAGTGCTAAGACTGAAAGCACGTATGCCCAGCTCGGCAATTGCACATCGGCAAGTGGGCTAGCTGGCACAGCGGCTCGGGCATTGACGTCGCATGCCGAGTCGCGCCCTTGCTGTGGCCCCAGCGGGAGAGCACCCGCCACTCCGGCCCAGCGCTGCGGTGTCGGTGG